AGGATTGGCAATAGATGTTAGCTCAGAGCCAGTCTTCCTCAGCAAAAAGAGGAGGATTAGCATGGATGTTAGCTCAGGGCTGATCTTCCTCACAAAAAAATAAATAAATAAATAAAAATAGAGTTTCTTGATTTATGAGATCTGGTTCTGTTTCTCTCTTCTGCTGTTTTGAGACTGCCTCTTTTTTCTGCTTCTCATATTCATCTGCTATTCAATTTGAAATCTCTTCCCAGCATAAGATATACAAAGACATAAGAAGAAAACTGGTCCTGCTGTCCAAAATTTTTGACAGTTTTTAGAAACAGATGATGAACATATTTAGGATCCTTCAACAGTTCAGTAAAGTGAAAGTCTTCCCCTGTCTTATTCTATTGAGAGTTTCAAGAAATTCCTTTCAGGGGAAAAAAGTATACATTTACCAAAATATATGTGATTTTTCCTAAAAAATATATATTTATACAAATTGTTCTTGAACTTGCTTATTTAATATATCTAAGGGATGGTTTAAAATTGGGAATAGGTGTCAGCTGAAGAGTATTATTATCACTTTTTAAATAATATTCATAAGACTTTTCAGAGTATCTTAGGTAATGGGGCTCTTCTCCTCTTGGGCCCTTTTTCTTGATAGGAAGACAGGATTCCTGTATGGTTTGGGGAAGGAACCAGGGCCAGCTGTAGGAAGTTTTCCCAAGGTCATCTCTCACCTCCCAAAGACACATGTAATGTTTTCAGTAATGTTTCTCATATAACTATTAATCTCATTAGTGTATTCTATGTTTAAATAACCTTTATGGGGGTGACTCGGTGGCATAGTGGTTAAGTTTGTGCACTCCACTTCTGTGGCCCGGGGTTTGGGGGTTCGGATCTCCGGTGCAGACCTACGCACTGCTCATCAAGCCATGCTGTGGCAGCATCCCACATGTAAAGTAGAGGAAGATTGGCACAGATGTTAGCTCAGGGCCAGTATTCCTCACCAAGAAAAAAAAATAATAATAACCTTTATGCAGTGAGGTTATCCTGGTTGTATGGTCCCATATCCCAGCTGTCATTAGATCTGTTGCCTCTGGTTACACTGTTTCAGGTTACATGTTTTTCAAGAACTCTGGTAACTTTGATGCTTTGACTGTATATATCTTCCCGTCAATTAGAATATATGGTCCTTGAGGATAGCAAATAATCTGTTTCTGTATATTGGTGCTCAAAAAGTCTTTCCTGGTTGGTGGACAGATTGCCTGAGGAGTACTGATGATGTTTCTGGGGACTTGTGTTTATTTCCTCCAGGGGAGCCGGGAAGTGGGACGGAAAGCGATACTTCTCCAGACTTCCACAATCAGGAAAATGAGCCGAGCCAGGAGGACCCTGAGGATCTGGACGGATCTGTGCAGGGAGTGAAACCTCAGAAGGCTGCTTCTTCTGCTTCCTCGGGGAGCCACCACAGCAGCCATAAAAAACGAAAGAACAAAAACCGGCACAGGTCAGTGGCAGGGACCAGCCCCCACACCCCACGCCCGCCCACCCGGAGCTTCCGTGGCCATTGCTGTAAAGGGACTTTACTAGAAAAAAAATCTTCAGGGTTGGTGCAGTCTTCCTGTTGCTGATGGGAAGAAATTCCTTTGGTCCAAACGAAACAGACTAATTTTTCCCTCTCTAACGGGGGAACTGGTGGGCATTAGAGTAACCAGGAAGGACATCCTTCTCACTATTTCTAGTGTAGAAGAATTTTATTCCTTAGAAACTTGTTTAATATGGTGATTTGGAATCCTTTTAGAAGAGGGAAAGGGGAAATAGAAACGGAATCTGTGTCATGGTATTTAGAAAATGCCACTAGTGCATGTTGGGAAGCTGCCAAGTGGGATAAAGTCCTTTGCTCTCAGTCCTGATCCCTGCCTACTCTTACTCCCTCCAGGATGGAGAGAACTGACCTCACATGCGTTTTTTTCTTTTTAAATACCAGTTTTTTGATTGCTTGTGATTTGTCTGTTTATATTTATATATCTCTGCAATATGCTGACTTCAGATATCAGAGGGACAACATAAGGTCTATAAGATATGAGAGTGCCTTCCTAGATGCTGTTTGTCCACTGTGTTTGTTTGCAGTACATAATGAGGTGGGAGTGACATCAGTGGACAGAGGGTCAGGTGTCACCCAGAGAGGATTTTAGCATTCATTCTGCTTGGGGTTTGTATGGTAATGCTGAGGCCTGTTAACTTAGATAACTGGAAGTTATACAGCTGCACTCAGAGAGGATAGGGCATAGTTTCTAGAGTGAGGATCTTGCTCTGGCCTCAAACCTTCCCCTGGAAGGCATGAAAACCAGGTATCCACAGGCTGGCTTTTGTCCGGCTTCTCTGGGGGGCCTGCATGCTGAGAAGATGAAAGGGGGCATGCGAGGAGTCCGTGGGGTTCCCTACCCTCCAGTTGGCTTCTGGATTGGGTTGTTTTACAAACCTGTAGGATATTTCTTCATGCACCCAAAGTATGAAAATTGTTAGCTTCGTGGATATGACACCCAGGGATAATATAGAATCAACTCTAACTGATTTAAGCCTCCTTGGCATCAACTGATTCTTTAACTCTTTTAAGAGTTTTTCTTGTCGACAGTGGTGGTGGTTTTTAGACTGCAGAAATAGTATTTCGTCCAGATAGTGACTAAGGACTGCTACTTATGTTTTTCTGCAAACCAGAAATCACCGTGCCAGTCTCATAATTGCAGTAAGAAGCAGCAAAAATTGCCTATCTTTTTTTTCGGTAAGGCTACAGGTTATTTGATCACTGTGATAGGACTGATCTTAGCTTATCACAAACAGTAGCAGAGAACCATACTCTTAAAAATATTTTTTTAAATTGTCAGGATAATTAAATATCATGCCCCGTGATGCTTTGATTAAGTTTACTCCAGTGTCATTTTAAAGTAATGATTCTTTTCCTATTTCAGAGTATCTAAGAGTAGGGAGAAAATTCCTTCAAAGTTGCTGGGACATTTTTTCCATCTGTCGTGATAGACTGTCCAGATAGCTGTTATTTATTTCTGGCAATACCTCATTTGCTTTAGTGACATCATCAGCTGACTGACACAAGGGAGTTAGGCAGTGAACCTCACTTTCTTTTTTTTTTTTTAAAGATTTTATTTATTTATTTTTCCCCCAAAGCCCCAGTACATAGTTGTCTGTCATAGCTGCACATCCTTCTAGTTGCTGTATGTGGGACGCAGCCTCAGCATGGCTGGAGGAGTGGTGCCTCGGTGCGCACCCGGGATCCGAACCTGGGCCGCCGGCAGCGGAGCGCACGCACTTAACCGCTAAGCCACGGGGCCGGCCCACGAACCTCACTTTCTTGCAGGTTTCTAGTAGATTTTCATAGGAACAGCACTTCTTCCTACTCTTCCTTCCTCTCCTGGCCCCAGGAGCTAACTCCGTTCAGAAAAATACAAGATTATAAAGATCTTCGATGTTAGTTACTGCTTTCACAAGTGGTGTCTTCTGTTTGGAAAGCAGGCTCCTTGTTCATTCCCTGGTTTAATACCTGGCCAGCGTCTCCCTTGGCCTCAGGCACTGTCTGCCCCAGGGGGGCGGAGTGGACCTGCTTTGCCTTCTTACTGGGGAGAACAGTTCACTGCACCTGAGTGGCACTTCCTGGCCAGTTACGCTGCTCAGACTCCTGCCGTCTTTAGTCTGGAATTGTGTTTGGCCCCAACCCCTGGCCCCCTGACTGATGTCTGAGTGGGGCTGACAGATGGGGTGGGGGGATCCACACGTTGTAAGTCTGCACTCAGTACAGTACTTGTTTCTCTTCCCATCTGCCACGCCCCATGGTCGATAAAGTCAGTAGTACATTATTTCAGCCAACGTCTGAGTACCTACTGTGTGCCAGGCACTGTTTAATGGTGAATAAAGCAAAGTGGAAATAAATATGGCACTTCAGCAAAAAGGAATCACTTTTGAATTTGTCGTCTTCGGGAATATGAAAATTTATTAAGTAATTTTTAGCATTCATGAATGATTGCAATGTTCTGAGTTTTTATGTTTTACGTGGTATCTGAATGATGAGTCCCAGTGTCTTTAAAGAAAAAAGTTGAAATAATAACTTATAGCTGCTCTTATAGGTTTTTGCTACTATCCCAACCTCTCAAATTCTTCTAGATAGTTTGAAGTTTTCATTAAGTAGGTCCAGTCTCCTTTGGTTTGTGAACAAAGTTGAGTTAGGCTGAACGTTAAATTTTTGATAGTTCCTGGTTTGTACACTTACTGTTTACTGTCCCAGATGTCTTAAGTGAAACTCTTGCATAAGGGATGTTGGATGAGGGATGTTGAAGTTAAGCTTTCTTCCAGCTTCACTCTTGCAAACCTTGGCTAATGACAAAATGACACAGCCATTTTGCATGTTGTTTTACCACGTGTCTACAGCAGGGAAGGCGTCGGAGCCGGCTAAGGAGCTGGTGTCGCACTCCAGGTTAACGTTTGCTTTGGAGGTCTGCCCAGACCGTGGTCTCTTAGCAGTGATGGCCACAGGTGGCCTGGTCCTCTGTACTGCTCCCTTTTGGGACCCTGGGGCTTGGCTGCTTGTGGAGGTCAGCTTTCCTTTGTTTTAATAGGGGCACTGCAGGCTTTGGTGTTCCGTAACTATAGCCCTGACATAAGCAGTTAACTGCCGTCACCAGTCAGGGGGCAGAGTGATACGGCTCTGCAGTGTCTGGAACAAGACTCTCCACTCGACCCTTGGCTTCTAGGATGAATGCTGTAGAAAAGGAGTGCCATGTTCCCTGGACACACCTAGAACATATAACTGGAGTTAAAAGTTGCAAAATGTTTTCTTTTTTAAAAGTGTATGACGTTTTAATCTTTCATTTTAGTGAAAGTATATTATGCTGAGTTATTAGTACTGTCTTCAAAGCACCTTTCATTATATGACTAAACCCTTCTTTCTCTGTTTCTTCTAATGCCCTATTTGTATTTTTTGTTACAATTAAATATTTTAAAAGTTCTAACTCTGAATCTGGCAGCTAATAGAAGGCCTGCAGGTATCTAGTTTTCTAATGAAATGACTTTTCCTTTCATAGTCTGTTCTTCTGATGTGAAATTCACTGAGGGAAGGGAATCTCCCAACCACAGAATCTTTGGTGCTTTGATGTTTGAAACTTTATTCTTAGAGCTGATTTTGTTTCTATAAATCTTGCTAGGGTGGCTAATCAACTAATTTATTCAATTAGTATATTAATTTCTATTGCTTTCTTCCTTTCAAATGCTGCCCCTCAGCCCGTCTGGCATGTTTGATTATGACTTTGAGTAAGTTTGATTTGAATTAGTATTTGTGCTGTGTTGTTTAGTGTGTAGAGACCAATATGCCTTTTTGAGACCTTTCTAACCCATAGTTTATCTGTTTAATTGTAGGTATGTATATTAGGTTAGGCTGGGAAGTTTTTTTTAAAAACAGAAAAACGTGATGGAGGTAACATTTTATTTAATAACTTAAGCAAAATTAAGTAAACTTCACTTTTATGCATTTTAATTTCTTTTAAAATAGATAACCTTTAATTTATATTTAAGTTGATTTTCTGGCTTTGCTTCATAAGGAGATTAATAGTTTTAAGATCTTGATATTTTGCTTTGGAAAGATTTAAAAATTGAAATTTTTAAAATTTCTTTGGTGTTTCCTGTCCAGAAATACAACGTCCTGGTTTCTTTCCTATTCTTAATCACTCTGTGTCTCAGTGATTATCAGTGATATAGTTACAGAGCTAACACATTAACGTAGAGCATGCCTCTTAATCCAATCTCTAATGTGTAATTTTGGAGTAATTTTAAAAAACTATATGGCTTTTGTAACTGCTGTATGTTTCTATTTTGAGTCGTTTTAAGTTTGCCTTGTGGCAAGAGTATCTGCTCGTGTTTTTAAATACTTGCTTAATAATATCTGGGTAAACAACTAAATATGACATAGTCTAATGAAGAATGTGGATTTTACATAACCAAATAGCCTTTGTTATAGCTTGTGCCCTATGCATAGCTGATTCTTGGACCTTTTTTCTGTAAATTAAAATGCAAATATTTTTTATCTTTCCTATCACAGGATTGATCTGAAGTTAAACAAAAAACCACGAGCTGTAAGTATCAGCCGGACCATTTCAGAAAGGCTGGTAATTTTGTAGATGATGAGAAAAATGTATTTGTCTTCAGAACTCTGAGTGTTCCTGGTCAGGAGTCACAACTCCCATTGTTTTTTTTTAAAAACTTTTATTTTATTTTATTTTTATTTATTTTGAGGAAGATTGGCCCTGCACTAACATCTGTTGCCAATCTTCCTCTTTTTCTTTTTTCTCCCCAAAGCCCCAGTGCATAGTTGTGTATCATAGTTGTCGAGTAGTAGCTCTTCTATATGGGACGCCGCCTCAGCATGGCTTGATGAGCGGTGAGTAGGTCCGTGCCTGAGATCTGAACCGGCGAACCCCGGGGTGCCAAAGTAGAGCATGCGAACTTAACCCCTACGCCACCACGCCTGCCCCACAACTCCCATTTTAAAGTCTGAGGTGTCCATCTGGATACACTTCAACTTTGAGGTGTTATTTACTTTCTTTATACTTTGGAGAGAGAAAGGGTTACATCTTTATGGAAGAAAAATTCCCTTTCATTAAATAATGACTTGTTAATGCTAGCTTTTTTTTTTTATGACTGGTGAGCTCAGAAGATCTAATGGGGCAGGATTGATTCAGTTTAGTCTCTTTGTGGACTCAAAAGACAGGCCATTTTCAGATGTTAATAACATCCATTACGTTTGAAATAGAATCTTTGGCTACAGAACAACCCCCTAGCAGACTTGTTTATGAGATTTTTTTCTTAGGTTCAAACCAGTATTCTGCAGAGAGTAAGTTGGGACTTTGTTTTTCTCTCCTTAGGACTACTAGAAGATTCGTTAGTGCAGAAGCTTCCAGGCTCTAGAGCCCTGCTTCCCTCCTCCGACCTCACAAAGATAAATGTCCCTCACCTGTGTGTGGCCACCCACCTCTGCTTTCCCAGACCCAGTGCCTGTGACTCTGAGTGGTTTGTTCTGAAATGTGGTGACAAACAAGTCATTTCTGTAAGACTGCATTGGATCATTGACTGTGTCATTTTTAGTAACAGAACTGCAGGAAGACCAAGACCTGGTTACAGTCCCAGCAAGTTGCTAACTGTGCGTTTCTCCCTTCTTGGAATGAATGTCTCCCCCTAGACTGGCTGGCACCAGCGTCATCTGTGATACCCATCGAGAAATGTTCTCTGCTTTTGTTTTATGCTGAAAGTAGAACACAGGTCACATTTCAGAGGGAGGCTGTAAATATCTGGCAGTTTCTTATTTTGTTTGTGTTTTATTATTTTTCTATTGTTGTTTTTACCATCTTCTTTGGGCTTTTTGTAATGCCGTTGTACAGCTCGTACCTTCCTGCTGACATATCTGATAATCTGTTTCGTGCTGTTGCCAATATTCTTAACTGAAGATAATCTGATTTACCATAAATAAAATGGGGAACTTGGCTCTGTTTTTTTGCAGGAGGAAGGTAAAGAGTGTTTATTTAATAATTGCCTATCTTAAATCTTTCTGAGTTGGAAACAGTTTCATGTTCAAGGAACAGGAAAAGCTGAAAAACATAAGTTTAAATCAATCCTTTAAAATAGATATTTTTATTTTTTTGTATAAATAAATTTTCACAGGCTTTGACTTCTCATGCTTTACTTTTAAACCTGAGAGAGTTTTTTCACTTATTTTAAAATAATTTATTCATATCATGCCTTATTGAAATTTCTTTCTCTTTCCATCTTTTCTCTCTTTGCTGGTTTTTACCTGATTAAATATTGCTCTAAAAATCACTAAGGCGTATAGAAAGGCTCAGAATTGCACCCAAAGCTGATACCATATGGAGTTCTTGAGCAGAGTGAAAGACAGGATCAATGAGAGCCAGCGACGCCCAACAGACTCTCTTCCTTACAGGGGTTGCTGGTCTGCGGAACTTGCTGATAACTGTTGCCTGCCTCCAGAGCAGTGCTGACCTGCCTCAGCTGCACATTGGAATCACCTGGGAAGCTTAAAAAACACTGCTGCCTGGGTCCCAGCCCAGAGACGGCCTGGGTCCTGTCTAGTTGCTGGGATTTCCTTTCAGAGAGTCCCTGGGATTCTGATCAGAAGCCACGTTGAGAAGCACTGCGTTAGGAGACTGGATGGTTTGATTTAAATCCTATGTTGTGAATCAGTCTAGGGATAAGATTTGGGGCCTCACCTTTCCTTCGACTCTCTTAGTCATAGTCCTTTACTTATGCCCGTACCTTTGTTAGAAAAAAATATGTTCCATTTGTGATAATATTGGTAGAGCTGAATATGGATGGCATCTCTTATCAAAACAAGTCTACCTTGTCAAATGTGCAAAAGCTTTCACTCTTCTTCTCAAATAAACTGTTTTTTGACTCTGTGGCTGTTTAGATGTCCTTGGCTATGTCTTTGGTAGCAGAACTCCAATGTCAGGGTTTTTAAGGAAATTGTTTCTTATATTTAGATTGTTCCTTTAAAAAAACCAACAACTAAAAACAATGGAAACCAGAAACTTCTGTATCCTTTGTCAGTTTGTCTCCTTCTCTGGGAGGGTCGGGGGGGCTACCTGCAGTTTCCTTAACTCTGAGGAAAGCACACAGCAAACCTGAAAACATTTCTAACTCTCATAGTTTGACGTTTCCTAACTCTCATAGTTTGACATTTCCTAGACATATAGTAGGACTGCTCTTAAAAAGGTATATTATTTAAAAGCGTATCTATGTATATGAATACACCCATGTGTATATATAATCGTAGTTAGAGACAGGCTGCTTGCTTTATACTATTTTCTCTGTAAAGTTTAATCATTGATTAGAGGACCTCTCAGTTTTCCTATAAGTTGGGCAGGTGTGCTGGAGATATTCAAGTCCTGAAAGGTTGCGTGGGTTCCCTACATTGGGGTCATCTAGGAAAAGGCGCCCAGGGATCCCTGCCTACTTCATCTGTGATATTTGTAACTTCTGTTATAAACTAAGTTTGCTTAACTTTCAAACAGGATAAGGTAATGACTTTGATCAAGTCATTGATCAAAAGAATAAATGTGCTAACATGGGGTGACACGTTCATTTAGGTGGCAGTTGCCCTCGCAGTACCCACTTATATAACATTTGGTGCACGTGGTCTACTGGGTGGCCTGTGTCCTCCCGTCTTAGCAGCCCCCACCAGCGACCCCTGAGCTGGACTACCCCCAGGACCACCGAGAAGGCATTTCTTCCAGGCATACCTTCCCCAGGTTGGTTGGGTTTGGAATAGTACTTTGCTTCAGGGCTTAAGCAGAAGATGAATTGGTTTAAAGAACTAGAGCCAAATTGCAAGGTGACTCTTGTCTCCCTCTTCCCTCTCCTGTAATCCAGAGGGACAAGAGGGAATGGGAGGGCCGAGGGCAGTCATGCTGGTTGATTTCTGCCATCTGGGTAAATCTGGTTTTCTCTGCTTTAGCTTTCTCATCTCTTAAGATCAGAATAGGTTGTTCTTTGCTTCTTTTGGTAGTTATAAGACATTAACAAAACTGCAGGCACTTTGTATTATGTTTTATGTCTTATCCTGGGAGTTGGGTGTCTGTATGAAGCTTCCTGGGGAGTCTCAAGTATACTCTTCCAGGGGGCTGGGGAAAGAGTTTATTCTATTCAAATTCAAAATGTTCGAAACATCGTCTGACCCTACAGTTGGAAGGTGGAGAGCAGGAACAACCACAGAGTAAAAGATTGGAGTGGAAGCCGCTTGAGGCCCACTGGAGGGTCTGAAGGGCGGCATCATGAATTTGGACTGGGCCAGTGTGGGTTGAGAGAGTGTGGACTTTGCAGAGCTGCTGGACATGTCTTGGGGGCCTTCCAAGTGCTTTAAGAAATTGATCAATAAATAGGTTAACCGTTCTTTCCGCAATTAAGTTTATACTGTTTGCTTAGAAGAAAATCCGTCGGAATTGTTTCCAACTCCAAGCTTGAGCTTTTGGATGTTGGGGTGATGTAAGTACTCTGTAAGTGTTGCCTAGAGTATTCTTGACATCCTGATCTGTGCAGTAAAGGAAGGAATCAAAACAAGTGTTAAATGGTCTAAGCTTGAAGGCAGTAACAGGTATGCTGTGTTGAAACGCTCTGTGACTTATTCTTTGCTTTTATTCTGACTTCTCTGCCCCTCAACCTTACTCCAAATTACTGAGGCATTATTGTGCCTAAAAATTGATGTTGGGGGCCAGCCCCAGTGGCCTACTGGTTAAGTTCAGTGTGTCCCGGGTTTGGTTCCTGGACACAGACCTACACCACTTATCAGTGGCCATGCTGTGGTGGCGGCTCACATACAAAAAGAGGAGGATTGGCAGTGGATGTTAGCTCAGGGCGAATCTTCCTCAGCAAAAAAATTCACGTCGGAAGCCCGACTCCAGGGGCACTGGTTTGGGTGCGGTGTGGAGGGAGAGCGGGATGGTGCTTCTTCCAACACATTTACTTCTCCCAGGCTGGTGTATTCAGTGCCTGGGAGGGTAATGTGCATGGAAGATGCAGGGGTCGTGGGAAGAAGGGATTGGGATTCTCATTCCCGTGTTAATCTAAATTAACGTTATCATGTCTGAAATTTGTAAGTGGTAGACTTCATGATTGGAAACAATCTTCACTTTGAAAAACTGCTTCTGGGGCCGACCCCATGGAGTAGTGGTTAAGTTTGTGTGCTCCTCTTCGGTGGCCCAGGTTCACAGGTTCGGATCCCGGGTGTGGACCTCCACCACTTGTCAGCCATGCTGTGGCAGCGACCGACATACAAAGTAGAGGAAGATTGGCACAGATGTTAGCTCAGGGCTAATCTTCAAGCAAAAAAATGAGGAAGATGGGCAACAGATGTTAGCTCAGGGTGAATCTTCCTCAGCAAAAAAAAAAAACAAAAAAAAATGCCTCTGTAGAGTAAAAGTTTCCATCGCTGAGGTGGGCTGGGGTGGAGCTGGTTCTGACCACTGCTTCGTAGGGCAGTGATCCCCAAGTGGGAGAGTGTGGAGGATGGCTCATGGCAGTGGGAAGAACGGATCAGGCCTTTGATTTATATTTACTTTCAGGCTCAGCCTTGTTTAGTTCCTTGCTTTGAATGTGTTATATAATAAACATAAATATTAGTTCACTAGTACATGCAGACAATTTATGAATAAATGTTATGTTGAACCACAAGTAATCGCCTATATTCAACCGTTTTAATTTTCAAAAATGGCAGTTACCATGGCTTAACAAGATATACATGATGGGGGATGTATGCTCCAGGTTTTTACTGTTCACATACAAGAATAAATTTTGGAGACCCCTGGCCAATACAACCCTCCTCAGATCCCCACCGCCACTCCCATAACTTAGGTCTACATGTCCGAGGGGCTTTAAAATATTTAAGTTGAATAAGTAATACATGCACATGGCATCCATTCAAATGGTACTGAATGGTCAATGAAAAGTAAGTCCACCTGCCCCTCAAATACCGGTTGTGCTTCCCAGAGCCAGTTTCTTATGTCTCCTTCTAGAGGAACTGTGTACGTACATGAGCAATACACACACATACATGCGTCTATTACAAAAGTGGAAGTGGATTCCTTTTTTCACCTAGCAATACAGCTTGGAAAACGTTCTATAAATGCCCTGCCTCGTTTCTATTGGCTGCTTAATATTCCACGTGTAGACCAGAATTTATTTAACCAGCCCTCTACTGGCGTTCACGTTTCCCATCTTTTGCTGTTTCAGTGCCGTAGTGCCTTGCACTACGATCATTTTGCAAATATGATTCTTAGCAGTGGGATTGGTGAGCCAAAGGGTTACAACACGTGGATCTCATTGTGACTTTATCTTTCAGATCACTTTTTATTTATTTATTTTTTGTGAGGAAGATTGGCTCTGAGCTAACATCATTGCCAATCCTCTTTTTGCTGAGGAAGATTAGCCCTGAGCTAACATCTGTGCCCATCTTCCTCTATTTTTTGTATGTGGGACGCCGCCACACATGGCTTGATGAGCAGTGCATAGGTCTGCGCCCGGGATCCGTACCTGCGAACCCCCAGCCACTGAAGCGGAGCGTGCAAACTTAACCACTACACCACTGGGCTGGCCCCCAGATCACTTTTTAAATAGGAATACTTGTATTTTTTCCCTTTTCCTTTCCTTCTTATTCCTCCAGTTCCTGAGAATTTTTCTTGGGTAATGTGTTACCCAGAACAGTTGGAATTTTCTGGAGCTGTAAACTTTTTAGAAGGCATGACTATGACCTCTGGTGTTGCTTTCCAGGCTGGAGTTGCAAATGACTTTAAGAATCCCCTGTTTTTGCCTTGGCACTTACTTTCCATGTCATTCTATTTAGATTCTTGTTTACGGATCCTGCTGGAGATCCTTGTCTCTAGGCCCTTCCTTCAGGCCAGGGCTGGTGGCTGTGGGTTTAAGCCGGCCCCCTGCTCCACAGGCAGTCGTACCAGGAGGCGCCAGCAGGTGGCAGGCGGAGCACCACTAGCGCCCCTGACCTTTGGCGAGGCTCTTCTCTGGAGAGCAGCCAGAATTGGAGCCTTTGGACTCGTCCCAGTGACCTGCCTCTCAGCAACATGCCCAACTCAGTGTGTGTGTGTGGGGTTAGCTGATCCTTTTCTCCCACCGAGTTTTGCAGCCATTTCTCAAATGGGTGAGCAGTGTAAGAAGCCAGCAGCTGCCTTGAGATGGGCTTCAAGAGGCCACACCCCAGGATGACAGCCTGGGGCCCCCTCCCCCTCCAGGAACTAGCTGGAAGGATTTACATACCATGGCCCGGGATGGCTTGGGTTTCCTTAATTGTAGGGCCCTACTTCCTGTCTCTTTCAGCCAAATCTCCCACACCCTTCCCATGAACTAGGAGGTCCCCAGAACAGGCTCTTACTCACTACCCTCTACTCCACCCACTCTGAAAAAAAAAAAAAAAGAGCCAGAGGTTTCAGAAGCCCTGGAGCAAAAGTGCTAGGATCCTCAGACTGCCTACTTTGCGGGCAGGAGCCCCTGGGGACCAGCTGTGCCCAATGCTGGGGCTTACGACACCACCTCCTCCCCCCAACTCCTAGCTTTGTGCCCTGTTGGACCCCACTTTCTCTGTTGCTCACTCTGTCTCTGATAGAGACTGCCCAGCACCTCCTCCAGGGCAGGGGTCTTGCCCTTCTGTGCAGGGGAGACAAGTATGGCTTTTCCAGGAGACAAGGGAGAGAAGGGAGGGCACAGAACTTTGCTGGTGAGAGGAGGAGGAAGTGGCAGCTGCGGTGGTGAGTGGTGGCCTTGTCCAGCCAACTCCCAACACCACCCTGCAGGCAACGAGTGGTGTTTGGGGTGTTAAGCACTGGGGGGCCCTAGGAGAGCTGCTCCCCTAGAGCCCCAAAGCTCTCCTGCTCCTAGTTTAGGTCCCCAGACCTTTAGGGACTGCTGGGTTTTCCTCAGGCTGGCAAAGTGCGATGGGGACAGAGTGGGTGGGGCCATCCAGGGTGGGGAATTTCATCCCCTTGTGGCTGGTTCAGTCTCCACCGGGAGGCCCAGGTTTCCTTAGTCACCTTGCACCCCAAGCGAGCGGGGTTAACCAGTATGTGCGAGACAGAACTTGCAAGAAGATTCAGGGTCAGGCCCCTGCTGGTGAGAGCCTCAGGGCGGGAGGCGTGGGGGGGGGGACCTGTGGGGGTTCAGGGAAGGGCTGGCAGGAGGCCACTGTGGGGAGCTCCAGGATCATTTCCCAACAATGCAGGGATTTGCATACTTGCTGGTTTCCCCAGCTGCTTCTCGGCTCCTGGAACCAGGAAAACAGAAGGAGGAAAGAAGCTCAGGGCAGCTACCGAGTGTTTTTTTTTTGCTGACGAAGATTAGCCCTGAGCTAACATCTGTGCCAGTCTTCCTCCATTTTATATGTGGGATGCTGCCTCAGCATGGCTGATGAGTGGCGTAGGTCTGTCCCCAGGATCTGAACCTGCAAACCCTGGCTGCTGAAGTGGAGCACACCAAACTTAACCACTAGGCCACGGGGCAGGCCCCAGCTACCAAGTTTGATCCCCTCCAGCGCCTCAGTGGCTTGAGCTCGTCTCAGGATCTCGTTCCAGCCTCCCACCCTCTCCTTCACGAGAGCCTGGGAACCGCACGGCTCTCCTGTGAGGCAGGCCGGGAAGCTCAGGCTCCGGAAGGGGAAGTGTTGCCCAGGGCCACACAGCCAGTGAGGGGGACTTGAACCCAGGCCCTCTCTCTCTCATGCTGCCCCCACATGAACTGAGGTGTTCTCTTGTCAAGTCCAGAGAGATGCAGGGACCACTGTGTCCCTTTTACAGGTGGGGACACCGAGGCCCGTGAGTAAAGGTGCTTCAGTGGGTGGGGCAAAAGGTGGCAGGGAGAACTTCGTAGGTAAAACCCAAGTCGTGAGAAAGGAACATCCTGGGTTTTGGCCCTGGCAACCTCTGAGTGGCTCTGCCTGGAAGCCAGATTGAGAAAGACACCTGGAGGGGAGGTTCCTCCAAACCCTGGATGGCCGGGCTTCCGGGAAAGCACAGGCTGCAAGCTCGGGCCGACAGGGCACTGAACTGACTCAGTCTGCCCCAGAGCCCGGCCCCAGCTGGCACCTGCCACGTGGGCTCTGCTGCCCTTGTCGGTGCCTGTCAACGAGCCAGCAGGGCCAGGCACGCCTCAGACGTTAGCCACAGCCAGCCTGGACCTCCTGCCCACTGCCCCCCTGCCTGTAGGATCCGCTCCCCCCTCCAACTTCCCAAAGCAGAAGCAGCGAATGACCAAGAGTTCAGCTCTGGCCAAGGACCAAGTGTGAGCCCTCAAGTCTATGGATAGCTGGCTGGTGGGATGGGTGAGAGCACCCAACTTCTCCTTCCAGGCCACCGCCGAGGCCCCCGGCCTTCACGCTCCACCATGGGGCGCAGACAGAGGGGGCTCGGTGGGTGGGGCTGCTGGGGCACCTACTGCTGAGCAGGTTGTTGTGGGGGTCATGTCACTTGTCATGCTGGAGGGGTTCCTACGTGGATGTGGTAAAGCTAAGAGGGTTGTGAGGGGCGTGGCTGAGGGCACTCCGCCTCCTCCACCCCCAATGCCTCCAGCCCTCTCAGGGGCCCGAAAGTCACTGCAAACTAGTGTCTGGGTCCTCCCTTCCTCAGGTTGGTGGGGCCAGGGGACCCACACTTGAGGCCCCGCCCCAATCTGTCCTCTTCCGTGGGACCTTGGGCAAGTCACTGGGCATTGCCAGTGGCTGATAATGAACGGGGACAGTCCAGTATTTTAGCTTCCTGCCCCATAAAAACAAAGGACTATAAATAGCCTTTTAATCCAGAATACAGTTCTTGATTGGAAAAAATATTTTATAAATAAGGCAATGAAACCTCTTTGTGCAGAAAAAAACCTCCCGAGGAGGCTAGAAGCAACAGGCATGGGGCACCCTGAAGAGCACGTTGTGGGGGCTCCGGGGTAACATTTGCTGAACTCGTTTCCATATTGTTCACCCTAAAGAATGTTAGGGTGAACGGGGTGGGGGTCTAACGTGCAGGGAGATCGCCAATGTGGCATTTTTCTTTAACATGCTGCACAGCTGTTCTGTGGTAAAGCAGTTTCTAAAAAAAATACAGATACTATAAAAGCTTCATAAACAATAAATACAAATTAAGTGAGATATTCAAAGACAGAATTATTAAAATGGTACTTTTTCCATTTTCCCCAGCTGATGCTGTTTGTTTGGGGATCATATGACAGTCAAGCCTTTTTTTTTTTTTTTTTTTTGGTGAGGAAGATTAGCCCTGAGCTAACATCCATTGCCAATCCTCTTTTGACTGAGGAAGATTGGCCCTGGGCTAACATCCGTGCCCATCTTCCTCTACTTTATAAGGGATGCCACTAAAGCATGGCTTGAGAAGTGGTGGCTCGGTGCACGCCCAGGATTCAAACCCGCGAAGCCCGAGCTGCCGCAGCAGAGCGCGCGCACTTCACCACTACACCACCGGGCCGGCCCTCAAGCTTTCACTTAAACTATTTTAGTTTTACCTCATTTTTCCGTCTGCAAGAAAAAAAAAAAAAAGAATGTATATTCCTGCCTGGCCTCTTCCCTTCTAGGAGCAGATGAGAAGGTTGAGATGGTGGATGGAGGTGAACACAGCCCACAGAGCCACACCAGAGGCCCCTTAATGAGGACTTACTATGTGCCAGGCACTGGGTCATATGCCCAACATGTGTGATCTCATGGACTCCTTATGACAACCCTGCCAGGTAGGTGCCGTTATTATCCTCACTTCATAGATGAGGAAACTGAGACCCGTAGGGGGGTAGTCACTTGCCCCAGGTGACAGTAGGTGGCAGAGCCAGTTCTTCAGTTTGGGACCAGGACCCCTAAGCCCCTGCTTGGAGGTCACCCTGGCGTTGCCTCTCCAGGCTGCTCCTGCCCCTGCACCCCCACTCCACCTTGCGACTCTGGGTCTAGGACACAACAACAGCTGGGAGGATGGGGCCAGAGCTGAGCACCCAAGGGCTTCCCCCACACCCACTCCCCCAAGCTCTCCTAGAAGCCATCTTCTCAGCCAGGTGGTTTCCTATGCTCAGCTCTGGTCACAGGGCAGAAAAGGGGAACAGCCCAAACCCCACCCCCAGTGCCACCCCCTCCCCACGCTGCAGCCTCAGGACTCTAAGCCGTCTTATAATTCTGCTTCCCAACCTTCCCCCAGCCCCGTCCACATGTCCACAGCCTCTCAAGGCCTGGTGGCCCAAAGCCTCAGTATGGATGCCTCTGCCCCAAAGGGACTGCGCACTCTCAGTGGAACTGGGCAGGTCCCTGGTGCACACCTGCTGACCTTCCAGCCCCCAGAGGCCAGCTCAGCCCCAGCAAGACAAAGACCATCACCTCTTAAAAGGGCTCACATTGTACTTTATTGATGGGTTGAGGGAGGCAAGGACTTTCCACTTAAAATATTTAACATTACACCTGTACGCACGCATACACACGTCCCCGCACCCTTGGGGGACTCTGAATACAGAAGAAGGGGGAGGAAGAAAGGGTGGGGGCACAGGGCCCTTGACCCCCTGCAGGGGCAATGGGCTAGGCAAACAGAGTGGGACAGAAGGTGGGTTATTAAGAAGCATCTTGCTTACTGACATGAAGCCTCGTGCCCCCGAGGGAGCACGGCCGAGGCCTCATTGGCTTAGAGGAGGGGCCCTTGGAGGGCAGGCACACGGTGCCCAACTAGCCAGCCAAAGCCGGCATCCCAGGGACGGGGCGGAGGTGGGGGGCCGTGCACAGGGTCCCCAGCCCAGGCCTCTGTTCCCCCTGCCTCCCTCCCCGCCCTCTGAGAGAAAGGAGGGTTTGGGCTTCAGCCATGGACCGACGGCCGGTACTGGCAGCGTCTCCTTAAACTACAGAGATACAATGTGTATCAACAGGGCGATCGTTCCTGACCTGCACGGGCGCACGGCGAGAGGCGCCACGCGGGCCAGGACCAATCCTACAGTATCTTTGGTTTGTGGGTTCCCTTCCCTACTTTAATCCTTCCTCTGTGCAGCCTCCAGGGTGGGCCTCAGGGCTGGGAACGGGCTGCCCAGCCTGACGGCCCTCGGAGGCTGGAGGTACTACCCAGGAGGGCCACCAGGGCCACTTACTCACTGAGGTGCACAGACTTGTAAGAGAGGATCTCGGCCGCCAGCTGCTGGGGGTCCAGGAGCTGCGGGAAGCGCCCCATCACGGCCTCCACCAGGTGTGGGGGGAAGACGCCACACAGCTTGGTGTACACACTGGCTCGCTCCTTGCCCAGGCCACCTGCCCCGCCCCATGGGCTCCTGTCAGCCCCTGGGCTGGACACCTGGGACTCCTGCAGGACTGGGGTGGGAGGGGGCAGCTGGTAGGGCTCAGACCAGTACTCTCGAGGTGGGAAGGCAGCTGGCGGGGGGCCATAGTCGGCAGGGACACTGAAGTGGCCGGCACCCATAGCCCGGCCAAAGGCAGAGAAGGCTGGAGTGGCTGGGAGCTCAGCCCCGTATGGGTTGTAGCCAGCATAAGGGCCCCGAGGTGGGCCTGGCTCAGTAGGGCCTCCTCCTCGAACCCCCCACAGTTCTGACATCTGGCTCTCCAGGGAGCCAATGCCCGAGTCCAGGCAATCCTGGGAGGTGTAGGGCAGAGAATCCAGGGTCTGCGGGAACCAGTCTGTGGGCCCGAAGCTGCCGCCACTGCCCCCGCTGAGTGGGAGGCTCCTGCCCGTCGGGGCAAAGGTCTGTGTCAGACCCTCTCGGGGGGGCCCTGGGGATGCCTGGGCTCCCAGCTTCTTCCCATCCAGGCTGCACTGCTCCTGCTCTGTTGGCAGAGATCCAGGATGAGATGAAGGTGAAGGCCGCTGGCCACTTCTGTCCTTGCCCGGGGCCCTAGGGGGTGACTGCAGGGCATTGGCACGGAGCTCGTCAGCCACGGAGCGCTGCGGGCGGCTCGGCCGCTCGGGGTGGAAGAATCGGCACTTGATCCCATAGGTGCACTTCCTCCCTGGAAGAGAAGTCAGAGGGAGCCTAAGCGGGGGAGCTCTAACCAGAGGTGGGTGGGGAAGGGGCGGCTCAGGAAACTCGGGGTTGGGTGGACCCAAGAGGAGGAACTCAGGGCGCAGGCCAACTTAGGCGAGAGAGGAAGGGGAAGGAGTGAGGAGGGCCGTGGAGGGTGGAGCTGGGTCTCTTACCATAGGGACATGGCTGCTTCCTGTGCTCGGCCGTGAGTGGCTTCTTCCGCAGGAAGTTGTCCAGGCTTGGCCCGTGACGGCCCAAGGGGTCATCAGGGGGCATGAACCTGCAGAGTAGGAGGGAGACGTGAAGGAGGACTTCCAAGTGCTGAGGAGGGGGCCAAGCCTCACTAGGAGGAACAGAAGGTGGTTCCTAAAACTGATGCCCGTCCAGCAGGTGGGATCCCTGGGTGGGGTGGCCGCAAGGGAGGGAAGGAGGTCCCAGTCCAAAGGGCCACAGCCGTGGGCACCTTTAGGGCACCTCTCGTGCTGGGAGCTCTCTGAGGCCTTAGGGAGGCCAGCAACCTGAAAATCTGAGTCTAAGTCTGCGTCCACTGGCCTCCGGTCAGAGACTCAGTGCTGGGAACTGGAGAGGCTCTCTTGGAACCACCAACCATATCCTACTACATCCTACTAAATGCTACTGCTCCGTCCCCTAAATTAAAAACCCCCAGGGGCCGGCCCCGTGGCTTAGCGGTTAAGGGCGTGCGCTCCGCTACTGGCGGCCTGGGTTCGGATCCCGGGCGCGCACCGACGCACCGCTTCTCCGGCCATGCTGAGGCGGCGTCCCACATACAGCAACTAGAAGGATGTGCAGCTATGACATACAACTATCCACTGGGGCTTTGGGGAAAAAAGGGAGGAGGATTGGCAATAGATGTTAGCTCAGAGCCGGTCTTCCTCAGCAAAAGGAGGAGGATTGGCATGGACGTTAGCTCAGGGCTGGTCTTCCTCACAAAAACAAACAAACAAACAAACAAAAAACCCAGCCCCGGCCAGGTCCCGGCCTGACCCTTCTTCTGCAGTGCCATGTCCATCTCACTCCCTAAGCTGCCTGGGTCCAAGGTTGCGGACCCCCAGCAGAGCTCCCCGCAGCCCTCCCAAGGGCACCCCTGGTTTCCTCGGACCCCAAGCCCATCTGGTCCGCGCTCAGCGGGAACGTACTTGTCGTTGACGAAAGAGTACATGAGCAGCCGCTCCTCGATGAAGCGCTTCCATTCCTGCCGCTCGCCCTGCAGGTCCCGGTACGTGTCGTTGGAGACCACGACCCCGTCGGACTCGCAGGCCAGCTTCACGATGAAGCGGTCGTCGTAGCACACGACCCGCTTGCCGCCCACGCGCCGCGACGGGGTGAACACCAGGATCTTCTTCTTCTCCAGCTCCCGCAGGATGTGCTGGTCTGGGGGCGGCAGGGGCGCAGTCAGGGCCCGGTCTGGACGCAGAGCCAGGCCCGCAGGACTGCCTCACCTCCTGGCCAGGCACAGGGGCTCTTATCTCCAGTTCAGGAGGGCAGGGAGCGGCTCTGCTGAGACCACCGCCCTCGCCTGGGCCTGTCACACAGTCTGCTGCCTGGAAACCAAGAACACCTGGGGGGCCTGCAGGTCCCACTCAGCAAAGGCTCCCGAGCAGAGCTGGGCCTTCTTCTCCCCTTCCGGATGTCAGGCCTGCTCAAGGCAGAGGTGGCCTTGGTTGGGTTCACCTGGCTTGTCCCGTAGGGGCCTGTGAACGAGCCCCAGGGACCAGTGTCTTGCCCTGTCCTCTCAGTAGCCAGGACAGAGCTCCCAGAGCCCATCCAGAAGGGGCCACTTTTCCTGGAGCAGGCGGCCCCAGCCAGCCTGCCCCCAGATCTCAAGACTTCTAGGGAAATAAACTCGGTTTTGGGGCCGGCCTGGTGGCACAGCAGTTAAGTTCGCACGTTCCGCTTCAGCGGCCCAGGGTTCGCCGGTTCGGATCCTGGGCGCGGATCTACTCGGTGCTCATCAAGCCATGCTGAGGCGGCGTCCCACATAGAAGAGCTACAACTCTTCAACTATGACATACAACTACGTACCGGGGCTTTGGGGAGCAAAAAGAAAAAGAGGAAGATTGGCAACAGCTGTTAGCTCAAGGCCACTCTTCCTCAAAAAAATAAACAAATACACTCGGTTTTACTCCCAAAGGTTGGGGGCTCTTGTTAGAACGATGGTAACACCTAGCATTTACTGAACACTTAACCATGTATTAACTCATGAGGTCCTCACAATGACCCCGGGAGATTATCAAACCCCCACCCCATGTCTCAGACAAGAAGCAAGTGGCTCAGAACAAGAGAACCAGAAGGGACAGAGCCAGGATCCCAGAGCCCACGGGCTCAGCCAGTACGCTATGCTGCCCCTGTGCCACTAGGGGAGTGGAAAGAGCATCCCATCATTAGGTGAGGGAGGTGGCCGGGACTCGGAGGCAGAGGCTGCAAAAGGTGACCTCCAATGACCCCTGTTCAGAGCAGAGATGCTGAGGACAGCAAAAGCTGGGAAAAGAAATGCTGGTCCCTGCTGGAGGCCTAGAAGTTGTCCGTCATACCCAGAGGGTCTCTCTTGGGAGAACCAGGGCTCCTGGGGCAGTGGGACACCCCCGGCCCTGTGCCGAGATGCCACTCACCTGTGATGGGCACATCGGGTCGAGGCTGCTCCTTTCTCCAGGACGGTACAAATACAGTGATATCTGTGTGGCCCCGCTCCAGAAACCAGTTCACCGCCAGCAGGATGCCCCGGCAGGAGAAGACCTCCTTGTTCCCATGGCTGGGAGGGAGAGGAGGGACAGGGTCAGCCCCGAGGGTGGCCAGCCTGCTACCCCCTAGGCCTGAGCAGGAGGGAGGTGGGTGGCACTCCAGCCCCTGCCCCACCAGCCTGGGTGGTGGAATGGCTGGCTCAGCCCACTGCCCTCTGGCTGGGGGCCCAAGGCCTATGTTCCCTGCCGGTTCCCACAGTGCCCAGGATGGCCAGACCTGGGACTTTCCCTGAGGTCCCACCTCCCAACAGTGAGGAAACGCCCAGGAATCTGGCAGCACCCGCTCCCCATGTGGGGGAGGGTCAGGCTGCTTGCAACACACCTGGGGGTGGGGGAAAGGCAGCTGGAGACTTCTGGTTCCTGCTCCACCCGGGGGCGCTGGGACCACGGGGACAGACTACACATGCAGACTGAGTCACGACCCTCCCTCTCCCGCTAGGCATGAGGGCGGGGGACGCACCAGCCCTGGCTAACCGAAGAGAAACCAGATTGCTCCAGATTAGAGCTGGATTACAATTCAGTCCTGCACGAACCCCAGGGGCTGTGACCTCAGGGTGAAGGGGAAGGAGCCGAGATTCCAGCCTCCGACACAGGGCAGGCAGTGACCAGTGGAAGCGGCCCCTTAGGGGCCTTTCCGTTGAAAAGTGAAAGGATACTGCTTTTCCTCCCAAGACGGCCAATTCCCCCAAACGCTTGTACCACCCATCCTCTCCTCACCCCTCTGGGGAGGGTGTGACCCAAGGCAGAAAGATGGCCTGGAGGACACTGGGCACCCTGTTAGCCGGAGAGGGGGGAGATGGGACATCCCACTGTGTGGTCTGAGGACCAGACCTCACCCCACCCAAATGCAGCCGGATGCAGAAGCATGCCCTGAGGTGCTGCTGGGTTGCTCTGGCTCAGTCTCTCTATCTGAAAAATGGGGCCGGTCTGCAGTCTCCTTAAGAAGGCCCCATGTCAATGGGACAACTTTCCTGTTTGCTTGAGGCCAAAGACAGTCCCACCAAGTGTAGGTTCCAGCTGGCTTCGTGGAAGGATGGGAGGGGGACAGGGCTCCTAGGCAATACTGGGGGGTCCCTCCCCAACAGCCCCGCCCCTCACAATCCCTCAGTGAACAACGCAGACTCTCATATTTGGCAAATAAAACAGAATCAACGTTACGCAAAAGAGGCAAGTCCATGGTCGACCACATCCTGTGAGTGGCTTTGGAGGGGTGACAGCTGGAGCCCCAAGAGAAGGTAGAGAGGGAGGCAGGGCAGCTGGGGGGGCATGGAGGCTGTCTGGGGGTGAGGCTGGGGCTCCCGGGTCTGAAGGCCTCTGTAAATTGTAGGGGAGGCAAAGTCCAGCCTGAAGGCAGCGCTCATCCCTGCCAGGTGGGGCCTTCCGGGCGTCCGCCAGCCGCTTATAATCCAAGTTAACATTTACTGAGAGCTGGGAGCCAGGCCCTGATCTAAGTGCTTAACTGACTCATCAGCGAGCCTCTGAGAGGGTACTGTCACTAAAGGCCCCTTTCCCCTTTATTCAGATGGGAAAACTGTGGTCCACAGGGGGCAGCTAGTAGCGCGCGTCACACAGCAGCAATGGTGGAAAAGAGATGCAAACCCAGAGCCTGTGCTCATAACCACCACGGGTGTTGATGCTCAGATCGGTACAAAGACAGGTGCCAACCCTGATGGCGGGGACAGAGCTCCTAGTGGAGGCCAGGCGCATGGCACACCTCCTTGCTCCATCCTTAGGAGGCTAGCCACAGTGAAGGAAACCAAGGCTCCGAGACTCATCTAAGCTCCCCTGGCTAGTGGTAAGACAGAACTTGAACCCACATCTGGGGGCACTGGATTGCCTTGCTGTCCCTAACAGCAAGACCAGAAGTTTACTTAGGAGAAAAAAAGCTGTCAAACTTGAGTTTGAACAGTGTTAAGAGAGAGCAGCAGGCTGGGAGCAGGAAAAATGATGCACCTAGAAAACGCCTGCTCCTCCTTCAGGACCCATGTGAGGTGTCCCGGCCTCTGAAAAGCCTTCCCTGACCTTCCAGGAGGGGTCAGGTCCCTGGTCTGTCTTTACAATGCCCAGTGCTTCCACCATCACATTACTCCCTTCCCTGGGCCTTCTGCTCTGTCTCTCCAAGACTGTGGGGGTGGGTGATCATCTCCGCTTGGCTCCGTCTCAGGGGTGCAGTCTGCACATGCATCCACCTGCCTCCTTCTGTACGCACATGTGTACATGCATATGCCCCATCCTAGGCCGGCATCTGCAGGCCCTGGGACTTCATGGAACGCCCTCCGGGCATCAAAAATCCTGGCTGGGGACAAGTCTGCTCTCAGCTGCCCTAGCCCCCAGAATGTTCCCTAGACAGGTGGTCAGAGCCTTATCCCTGGCAGAAGGAGAACACACATATATTCTAGTCCCTCAAGTCGAGCCCAAATACCGCCTCCCAGGCTGGGAGTCTCCCTACAGCTAACTTTAGTCCCTCTCTTTGCAGTGGAGGAAGCTCTGTTGGCCCAGGAAAACCAGACACCCTCCCACTCCCACCACAGTCCTGCTGCCCCTCAGCCTGGCTAACTAGACACTGGTGAGATGTGTGAGTATGTAGGAGACTCCAGCTCAGCTGCTCCCACCCTAGGACAGAGGGCAGGGCAGGGCCAGGGTACCCAGGTGAAAAGATCTGCCAGGGGTTGGGCCCAGCTAGTGGAGAAAAATTCCCTTAGAAGGAAACAGAGGTGAATTTCCCCACGATTTGCATATTGTGGGGGCCGGCCCGCCTGCCCTAGTGGGGGAGGGGGTGGCAGGGCAAGAACCCAGTAGCAGCTGAGACAGGAAGTTCAAGGCTGGAATTCCCCTCCTGCTAGTGCCCCGGCTCAGAAAGCCCCAGCGGCTCTGCTCCTCCAGCCACCATCTGCCCCTCCTCCTTCCCAGGCCCCTCCCCCTTCTGCTGGGATACAAACACACACAGCACATGGTTCCCCCAGGGGCTCAGCACTCCAGCCCACGCCCCCAGCCACCAGGAAGGAGTCACAGACTGGACCCAACTCCTTGCCCAGCCACACACTGCTGGAGCCTGAGAGGGGACCCTAACACTCAAAGCACATGTTTCGAGCAGCTGCCAGTGGCATGTGGGAGCCAGCTTTCCTCAACCGCTCACCCAGGCTCAGCTCATTTCACAGATGGGAAGACTGACCCGAAGGTGGCCAGCAGAGGGCCACCTGCACTCCTGCTGAGCAGGGCTAGGACTAGCCAGACAGCTGATTCTGCCCAGCTGGGCCAGGAGTGGGAGGGGCCAAGGGCATCCAGGCCTCAGGCAGCACACCTTGGAGATCCCTCAGGGCAGCCAAGCAAGGAGCTCTCCCCACTCCCCACCCCATGTCTGGGGTCTCCCCGTCCACACCCACAGGAACTTTTCCTTGTGAATGATCCACCCAGCCGTGACTCACCAGCCTGCCACGGAGGGACTGGGAAAAAGCAGGACTAGAGGGCGGGGCCTGGACTGAAGGGAGGTCTGGGCTCCCTGGGGTCAGTGGCAGCCCTGGCCCCACCCCACCTCATTCCCTGTGAGAGCCTGCATGGTAGGGGTGGGATACTGGGGCTGAGTTCTGGCTCTGGCCCCAGGAGAGCCTCTACAGCCCAGTCCAGCCCAGGTGGCCTGAGCTGATTCAGAGGGACCTAAGTTACAGCTCACATGAAGCCAAAGCATCAGGCCACCTGCCCAGACCACCCAGGTCACTCCTGGTCACAGCTACAAAGGCCACGGTAGCTGGGCCTGCTTCCATGGGAGGCCAGGTCTGGGACAACAAGGCCTCAGAAGCCCCAGACCCTGAATAATAGTAGTAATAACAACTTCTACCACTGTTTACCAAGCACTCACTCCGCACAACCACTACCTGAGGAGGCGGGGGGCTGGTCTTACAGACAAGGAGAGAGGCCCGGAGGGGTTAAGCGACTAGCTCCTCCATGAGTGAGCAGGAGGCCACAGTCTAATCCTTGCACTCTACTGCCTCATGTCACAGGAGAGGAACTGAGACTGAGCGTGCTGGCCCTCAGGGAGAAGCAAAGAGCACAAGGTGAGCCCTGCAGACACAAGGACCAGAGTTCGAATCCTTGCTCCACTACTTGCCAGTAGTGTGACCCTGAGCAAGTCTTTGAGCCCCCGTTCTTATCCCTAGAACATTCGCAACTCACTTCCAAGAAGCCATGAGGATTTAGGGAGCCTCCTGACACACAGTAGGGCCTCAATAAAGGGCTTGCCCTTCCTCTAGACAACCTGTGAGAGGAGATCAGACTTCCTCCCAAGGTCCCTCTGCCAGACATGCAGGGACACGAGGCCACCACTCCCCACCGCTGGCCACGGTCTTGGCCACACAAGTGACACGTACCTCATGGCCACATTGCTCCCATCGATGACCACGGGCCGCAGGTCACTGCCCTCCTTGTCCTCCTCTGGGGATGAGGGCTCCAGGGTGGGAGCCTTGGGGGTGCCCCCACCCCGGGGGACCAGAGGGAGCTGAGGGCAGGGGTCCGATGAGGCCTGGCGCTCGCGCTCGGCTGCTGACCCATGTTTCACCAGCTCGCCCAGCACTGTGTTGGTGTCCGCCTGGACCCCCAGCTTCTGCAGGACACTGTGGATCTGAGTGGATGAGTAGCCCAGCTTCCGGAAGAAGTCCACCTTCATCTGCAGCTCCGCAGCTGAGGCCTCCTCAGCGGTGGGCTCCTGGGCTGGCCTGGGGGTACCATGGCAGCTGTGGCTGTCTTCAAGTTCCCACAGACTCATGGCTGGGCTGGCTTCTGGGATGGGCCTCTCTCAACTGGCCACTCACAGCTCAGACTCACGGAATGCACCTGTCACAGCTCCTGTAGGACAACCGGTTACAAGGGTGAGGGATAGGGAATGGGTCTCTCTCCCGACTCCTCCCCACCCAAGAGAATGTGGCAATACTGACTAGTGGCACTATGCAAAGCCACCGTCATGTGTTACCTCTGTCAGTCCTCTCAAAAGCTCTCCCAGCTAGAGATCATCACATCCCATTATATAAAGGATGAAACTGAGCCAGAGACATTAAGAACTTACTCAAGGTCATCCAGCTGTTGGCTGGTGGCGCAAGGATTTGAATTTAGGCAATCTGACTCCACTTCCCAACCCGCCCCCAGCCCCACGCCAACCCAGGGGACCCAGAAGTCCTGGGAGGCCTCAGAGGACCTGGCCGTGCCCCCACAGCTGGGGGCGGGGCTCTCAGGTGGAAACCCGGGTTGGAAGCGCGCTGGCGGGGGGGGGGCGGGGGCTTCCCCGCTGAGCCCATCGCCTCCGCCCGCCCGCCTGCCGCGCGCTCGGAGCCCAGGCCCAGGAGTCGCAAGGCCCGTGGCCAGACTCCCGGACCGGGGGAGGGGAAGTTTCCGGGGCGACCCATCGGCGAGAAAAGTTGCTGGGAAACTCTGGTTGGCCCTCGCGCTCGCTGACGCGGAGGCTGTCCCGGCCCCGAGCCCCGCGCTCCCCCTCTAGACCTCGGTCCCCCTTCCCCCAGGCTCCCCCGACTTGAGCTAAGTTGGGGAGGAGTCCCGAGGACCCGCGAGGCCGGAGGGGACCCGCCTGACGTCCCTCCCCCTCTGGTCGGTCCCGGCCGGAGTCCTCCCCACCCCCTCCTCTGCCCGACCCCGAGGCCCGCGCCCCCGGCCCGCCGCGGCCAACTCACCTCGCCGTGTGCCAGCCACGGCCGGCGGTGTCTCCATGGGGCCGAGTCCCGGGGGCAAGGCCGACGGCGTCTTTATACGGGCCGGGTGGGCGGGCAGGTGGTGGTAGGGACCATGACGCGGAAGCTGGGCAGGGGCGGAGACAACCGGCCCGGGCGGCAGGGGGCGGAGCGGCCACCGCCCCTTCCTGCTCCGCCCCCGCGGCGCCCCGCCCCGCCCGCGCCTGGGGCCCCGCCCCCGCAGCCCGGGCGCGCCGGCCCGGCCTGGCATCCGCTCCGGGGGCTTGGGGTCGCAGCCCCGAAGGCGTGCCTCGAGACCCAGGTGGCCAGAGGATCTGGAGGGCGGGAGTGCACGGCCCGCATGCGGAAGGTAAACACAGGGTCAGCTAGGTACGCGCACCGAGTCAGGCACCGACTGCCCCAGGTGCGTACAGCGACACAAGAACAGGTACAGCCAGGTACGTTCAGACCTAAGAACGCTGGACAAGTTATGCCCCGACTGACGAAGGTGCAGTCAGGGATGCAGTGGGTGAATCAGGTGCACAGAGCTTGGTCTACACACCGCTGGAGGTAGGTCCATGGTTATAAAGACAGGTACACCCAGACAGGCGCTTTTCAGATGGAGACAGGAACGCTCAGCAGGTACACCGTGACTGGGCAGCGACACAGAGGTGGGGCCGCCCCCAAGGCCGGGTACGCTTTTTCTGAAATAAGGACCTTACCAGGATAGAAAGGCCGGTCCGACCAGCTGATACACGACGACGGAGGGGGAAAACCAGGCAAAGGAGGTATGTTGAGGCCAACCCCCAGGTGAGTGTTCACAGATGCTCTCCTCCACAGCTCAGGGTGCCACCCACCGCTCCATAGGGATGCTTTAGGTTCCCAGGTCAACAGGCATGATCCCTCACTTGAGCCTGCACCTTACAGTGTCTACCCATGGACTTAGGTGAGGAAGATAGAGGTTATTATGTCATTTCACCCTTGACAAGCTCAGAAAAAGCTTAACTGTCCCAGCTGGAAGGACTTGGAATCAGGACCAGGAGCTCCATCCCAGGGCACTAGGTGCCACCACTGCACTTGTGAAACCACCAGTGACCTAGGGCCGAGGGGAGACTCTTCTGGTGGAAGGATCAGGCCTGGCACCTGCCCTCAAGTGTGCATGTCTGTGTGTGAACACAGGCAACACAGAACCACAAGCTAGAGGACGAAGTCTCGGCAGTGCCACTGGCTCACTTTGCAGATGGGGAAACTGAGGCCCAGAGAGCCAGAGCACTCAAAACTGGGTGTTTGTTGTGTTGCAATACTTCACTGACCTTTTCTCTGCCTCGTAGGAATTAGTGTTACAGCCTCAAATTGTTTATTGTAAAAGACACCATATACACTATCCATGTACAGCTGAAGGATACAAGTAATAATAATAAAACACCCACATTTCCACCACCCAGCTTAGAAAATAGACCCGTGCCAGTACCTTCGAGGCGCTCCACATGCCTGCATGCAACCTCCTGCCCCATCCCCAAGAACCACTTTCCTGAATTTTGTTTTAATTGTGCTCATCAGCTCCTCGATTTTCTTTTAGTTTTACACCTATGTATGAATCCCTGAGTAATATATTATTTAGTTTTGCTTTTTTTTTCACTTTGTGCAAATGGAATCATTCTGTAACTATGTGACTTCCTTTTTTTCACACAGCACTATGTTTTTTCAAATCCGTTTCTGTTGCCTGTGTGCCTATAACTTATCTATTTTACTATTGAATAATATTCCATTTTAGGAATATACCACTAGCTATGTATCTGTTCTCCTGTTATTGGATGTTGTTTCTAGGATTTTTTTTTTTTTGCTATTACAAAGAATGTACATTAAATATTCTTATAAATATCTTAATGCAACTGTAGAGTTGAGGAAGCGGACGCTGAGATTCAGAAAGGTGGGGTCACTTGCCCAGGGTCCCAGAGCTGGTGGACCTGGAATGCACAGGCTCTCTCCGAGGCGTACCTCTCCACGTTGATGCCTGCTTGTTCCAGGAGGCCACCGAGGACCCCAGGGAGGAGGGAGCCTGTATTTCTAGTTGGGTCCTGAAGCTGTTCCTCTGGGCTTGCCTGACCCCACCTAGCCAAGTCCCTGCTTTGTTGCCTGGTCATCTTTAAAGACCCCAAAGTGTCCCCTCATCTGTGCCCCATAGGCACAGCAACCCCAGGGGCTGGCCACTGAGGAGGGAGGGAAAACAAGCCCCCTCCTCTGTGCCAGCTCACATGCTCATAGCCACTCCCGCTGAGCGCTGTGTGTGCTGCACCCCTCCTCTTCGCAATAGTCCCTTTTATAGTTGAGAAGAGTTTGGTGACGTGACGTTAGGTGTTTCTTCCTTGTAGTAACTACCTTTAAGATAGTAACAATATTAAGAAATGAGTCCAGGTTATTATTGTAACGATGAGAAGTGTACCACGGCGATAATGCCTCACATTTATGGATCGCTCACTTGGTGGCAGGTACTGTGCCAGCGCCGGCAGACACTTCCGTGCCCTTGTATCTGCTGCTTCCTCAGCCCGAGAGTGCTTCCTCTCCTTCCCTCCCCACTGCTGCCTGGCCAATTCCATTCATCTTTTTGATGATGTCACCTCCTCAGTGAAGCCTGCCAGGACTCCTTAGATGCTGAGTTGCTTCCTCCTCAGTGTTCCCGCAGTGCCCTGCCTGTGTCCCTACGTGCCCAATCGTGACTGCCTGCCTGGGACCTCCTCTGGGGCCAAGACTGGGCTGGGACTCTGCCCATGCTCCCAGGCCCCGGGCTGCCTAGCACCGTGCCAGTGGGAGCCGGCGGGACTGGGCAATGAGTCATGCAGCTCCGTGCCCTCCCCAGTGAGCGGCAGTCTCCCTCTCATCCGGCTCTGGGAAGCCGCTCTTTCCTGGGAAGCTGACTCTTTTTCTGTAGAAGCCAGGGCTACTCCGGGGAACCCCTGCTCCACTTACAGCTGGATTTTGCAAACCTTGGCCCCAGTTCCCGGGAGCCCTCTGGATCTGTTGGTGCCCAGCCCACGCACCCCACTCTGCCTCTTGCACGCCTGTTTCAGTGGCTGGGCTTGCCAACCTCCTTCCTGGAGCCTGCCTACTCTCCTGTCACCTGCTTTCCTGTACCTCAGCAGCCTGGGTGACGTCTGCAGAGCTCCAGGACTGGTCACCCGCTGGGCAGAGGGTGGGGGCGGGGCATGGGTGGGAGGGAGGCTGAAGAGGGAAAGGACCCAGGACATACCTTGGCTTTCAGTTGCTCCATTGGGCAGCTCAGACTGGGGAGGACACAGGAGCTAGTCACCTCTGTAGGAAGGGTGGGCAGGCTGCCCCCAAGCCTCAGTAGAATGGCGGCCAAGGTTAAATTTAACATGGTCCTCTGGTAGTGGAGAAGGAGCCAGGTCCCTCCCATATTTTGAGGCTCCGGGTATATTTAAAAAAGAGTAGAGCTACAAAAAATTGGAGTATGTTTTAAACTGTAGTTGAACAAATTAACTCTTTTCGTCATATATTCAAATGCAGTGCAATATATTTGGACTATTGACAAGGTAATTGGAGGATTTGTTTTAAAAATGTATGATTTTCTGGGCCGGCCCCATGGCTTAGCAGTTAAGTGCGCGCGCTCCACTGCTGGCGGCCAGGGTTCGGATCCCAGGCGTGCACCGACGCACTGCTTCTCGGGCCATGCTGAGGCCGTGTCCCACATACAGCAACTAGAAGGATGTGCAGCTATGACATACAACTATCTACTGGGGCTTTGGGGGAAATAAATAAATAAATAAAATTATAAAAAAAAAAGAAAAGAAAATCTCATGGTACGTGGGAAGAGTGAGGTGTTAGTGCGGCCAGAGCCCA